TGGGTTCGGTATCTGGATTGGACAGATGCATCTCTCCTGGAGCCTGGTTTAGAGAAAAGAGAGATCAGGTGCTGCTTCCTCGCTCATACCTGCCGTGCTTAGCATTTTTGAACTGGTAGGCAGCTTCCCACTCAGAATGCAACATTAGGTTTTGTTTAGCTGTTGTGGTATTGCTCTTATCTCTTTCTCTGTGCTATTTAAGATGTTTAGGTATTAACTTTGGACTTAACCAAGTCCAGAAAAGCTGTGTATCGTTGCTTTTACCTACATACATCTCCATGTACCATGCTTCCACAGACACGAATTGACTTTAGATCGTGGCCCTCAGCACTGCCCATATGCCTCATTAGGGTTAGTCTGGGAGACTGTACTGGTGTACACCACAGAGACATGAGATAAGATAGATCCATATGCTGATTTATGCAGGCTAGGCATGAAAGGCTGCTCTGTAGATGAATTAGAAACCTTCAGGATGGTTTCTGTTTGTGTCTGCGAGTCCATAAACTGATCAGCAACGCCCCAGGTTGCTGGTGGGAAGCCTTCAGTGAGGATATGCCAGTTGGGAACATTGGTTGTAGTTGCAGGGAAACAAAAATCAGTCTGAAGCGAAGAGAGCTATCGATTCATCTGCTCTTTTTCTCCCTCTCTGTCTCCCCCTGAATTTTGTGTAACTCATAAGCATAGACCTTGCGTAAGGAGATCGCATTTCACACTTAATGCGCATAATTATATCTTGCAAACAGTTTATTAATGGATATATAATCACAGAGTAGCTTGTATATACATAACACTGGTGTTTGATTATGCTGCAGATGCCATAGATCAATGGATACACAGGAGTCTTGCTTATTAGCGTCTCGCATGCACAAAGTCTAGAGAGTAATTCAACATCGGTACCACGCGGTTGTTCATCAAATACTGTTACATAGGGGAAACCAGAAAGTTTAAAGACATGGTAGAGAAGGGCTGTAGTAACATCAGTACATACGAGACCTGCCACTTGAAGAAAATTCCTTTTCTCAGAAATGTCCGCTCTGTAAACCTTTAAGAGGTATTCTTCCCTAATTGTCCGTGCACTGTAAACACTTTAGATCTTATTTCGAAAAGGGATATCTTCTGAGAAATAGCTCTGAAAGTAGCATGTCTACGAGTCTGACCATTTCTATTTTCTGAAGGTGACTCACCCTGAGGCCCAACGAGCAGGCTAAGCTCTCAGCTTGTGAATCAACAGCACAAGGATCTACAGACCAAGGTACGACTACTAACACTTCAGCAGCCTGAGCTGCACTGAAAGGGTTTGCAGCAATGTTGTTGAGACCAATAACACATAAGGCAATGCACAAGGAGGAAGATTCTAGCTTGTTTTGGCGCGTAGACGATACAGCACTAAAAAGTAAAAGCAAAAAATGGTGCGGTGAGCTACAGAATGCCCACGAGTTTGTATCCCATCTCCAACTGCGATAACCTCAGCTTTCCCTCCCTGTGTCCCCCAGCTACCACCTGCAAAGCTCCTTCTGATCTGCATGGATGTTGTATGTCTGGCCAGGCGCCAGCAGCTGTGGCCAAGCAGGGTAAATAACGATCGAAATTCTGCTGTAGCCTGTCGTGCAGTGAAGGCATTCATTTGTGTGCCTCTCCTATATCTGTCTGGGAATTAAAAAATAAATAAATTAGGAACTTTTCTATCTTTAAGACCTGAGTTGCCTTAGTAATTGCTTGGGGCTGCATGGGGTAGTGAAGGGAACAGCTGGGCAATTTTGTAAGCTTCCCATGATGAGAAAACAGGCTTTTTTTTTTTTTTTTTTTTTTTTTTTTTTCCAGTTATATCTCTTATTATGTAAAGGAATCAGATCTCTTCACCAAGGAGGTATTCTTCAGAGTTCATTTTTTCAAGTCATCTTAGCCTAGAGAAACTGGATAAATTCAGAAGAATAATATGAGGCTGTATGACTGTTTTCTATCTCACCCCTTCCTGCTATCCTCTTTCTGCACCAGACCAAGGGAGGCAACAGACAGAGGCAGCGACTGATCTGGTACAGACTTTCCAATAATATTGACTCACTTTATTTAAAACAAAAACTTTGCAGGGGACAGATGAAAACTCCAGGATGACAAATGCCAAACAAAAGGCTGTGGGAAGGAAAGCAAATTTATGTTGTTTCCAAACAAAGTCTTGAAAAATATGGACCAAGAAAGAAAAAAAAAAAAAAAAGGAAAAAACAAACAAACAAAAAAAAAAAACAGCTTGCTAAGTGATTATGACTCTTATTTCTTATTTTAGGGTTTTACAAACACTCGTCTTGCTTTTGACCTTCATAACTTTTTTCTTTTTTTTAATGTTGTTTGGAAAAAGGCATGTTCAGTTGGTGTTGGGGGGGCAGGAGCTGTGCGATGTACTAGCGAGTAATGAAAGATTACTAGAGGTTAAGGAAGCAGATTTCTACTTTATGAACTTGGCAGCTCTCCTGCAGGTCTACGCACTTGGTATTGATCTTGCTGTAAGATGAATAGATATGGATTTTTTTAAAAAAAAAATCTTTTGGGGGGACCTCTAAATATGCCTGACATTCATGAGAATTTTGCTTAAGGGTTGGTATTAATCTAAATTAATCAAGATACTACATAACATTTCTGTTTTCGGTCTCAGTGCAGCTTCTTTTCAGATTAGGTTATTATTGAAGAAATGTTTTTAAACAGTTCTTTTAGCGCTTTTAACTTCTGAATGTACATGCATATCTGCATTACAGTGACAAAGTGAAAATGGGAAGATACAGCTTTAACACATCTGGAGTTATTGCCTAAATCTGCAGGTTCCACTGATCACAAATGTATTAGACTTCCTGAAGAATATTTTCTCCATTTAGAAAAAAAAAAAACTTCATTTTTTTATGAAGTCTGTATACAAAATAGTTAAGGAATAGAGACGCTTCCCTCATTTTTTGTTAATTTGCTAGTACTTGATTCACATCATGCCTTCTGGCTAACCTTAGTATTGCCCTCTTTCAATTTGCATGAGTACGTGTAAAGTTAAGCTTGTAATGCTGAGAGATTAGAAAACCTCATTTCTTTATCAAAAGATCTAATACGCTCTAATATTTTTATGCTGGCAATAGGCAGTGTACGATCCAATTGTTTTTTGGCGTGTGCACCTACCCTTACGACACTGCTAAAGAGCAAGGAAGGATTGTAGGAAAAAAATAATCATTAGGATATGGATGGAATAAAAAGGTTTAGGGATAGGTGATGCACGTCCAGCCAGGCTCCCTGATTGAATCAGGTCCTGCAGAATGCCTGTTTGGGAGGAAGAGGAGTTAAGTTGCAGTCTCAGTGCTGTGTTTTTGACATGTATGTGAGGTGAAATGCTGGGCTTTTTGCTCTAGGTCGATGCCAGGATTTCAAAGGCACTGAGCATCCCCGCTGTGGGCTGTCGAGCAGTGGGCACCTCCTCTCCTTAGGGCACCCCCTCGCCCACGGCCATGCCCTGCTCAGGCAGCGCTCGTTCCCTGTTGCTCTTGCACAGGCAAGAGGTCTGATGCAGCCCCCGCAATTTTGTGTTTTGTAAAGCAGCAAGGAAGCAGGAAAGGGTTTGTTTCCTTTGGCAGTGGTGGGGTACAGCCTCGGGGCCACCCTTTTGGCCAAGCCAGGTGCCAATGGGCCCTTGCACTGGCTGTTGGGCTCTCAGTGGCCATGAGTGTCACCCCTGGGGCTGTGACATGGCCACCTCTCCCTTCTCCTGACCCAAATGGGACAGCAGGTGCAGGGCACAGCCCTGCTTGGTGCTCCCTGGCTTGTATCAGGAATAGTGCAGCCAGCAGGACCAGGGAGGTGATCGTCCCCCTGTACTCTGCTCTGGTGAGGCTGCACCTCGAGTGCTGTGTTCAGCTTTGGGCGTCTCACTACCAGAAGGACATCGAGGCCATGAAGCATGCACAGAGAAGGGCTACAAAGCTGGTGAGGGATCTGGAGCACAAGTCGTGTGAGGAGCGGCTGAGGGCACTGGGGGTGTTTGGTCTGGAGCAGAGGCTCAGGGGAGACCTCAATGCTCTCTGCAACTGCCTGAAGTGAAGCTGTGGGGAGCTGGGGGTCGGCCTTTTCTTGCAGGTACCCAGTGATAGGACCAGAGGGAATGGGTTCAAGTTGTGCCAGGGGAGGTTCAGGTTGGAAATGAGGAGACATTTCTGCTCAGAAAGAGCGGTCAGGCATTGGGACGGGTTGCCCAAGGAGGTGGCAGTGTCACCGTCCCTGGGGGTGTTCAAGGTTGGACACGGTGCTTGGGGACACAGTTTGGTGGGTGATGTTGGTCGTTGGACCAGGTGATCTTGGAGGGCTCTTCCAACCCTAATGATTCCAGGATTCCTGCTGTCCCCGAGTGGACAGCACCCACCATGGGGTTGAGGGAGGACTGAGGGAGGTGGAAAGGGACTTAGAAGGGCTGAGGGGGACTGGAGGTGACTGAAGGGGGCTGAGGGTGGTTGAGGGGACTGGAGGTGACTGAGTGGAGCTGAGGAGGGCTGAGGGGGCTGAAGGGCGCTGAGGGTGCCATCCCGCCCTCCCTCAGCAGCTCTGCTGCTGCTCCCCTCGAAGCAGGAAGCCGGAAACCATCTGAACGAGCCGCGTTAGCGAAAAAGAGGGGAGCGAGGCGGCTCCCCTCACCATGAGGCGGGGGGGGCGCCATCGCCCCCCCCCCTCCCCTCTTTCCCGCCTCAGCGGGCGGCGCGCGAGCCCCCGAGGCGCAGCAGCAGCAGGAGCAGCAGCAGCAGCAGCACTAGGCAGCAGTAGCAGCAGTAAGCAGCAGCAGTACCAGCAGCAGCAGCAGCGCAAGCGCAGTGGTAGCGGCGGAGTTGTGAATGGCGCGGCTGTGCCCGGCCGGAGTTGGCGGGGCGGGGAGGAAGTCGGAGGGGAGGGGGCGGGGGCGGGGCGGCGGCGGCTGTGCGCGCGCGGCGGGGGGAGGAGGAGGAGGAGGAGGAGGAGAAGAAGGGAGGGGGGGGCGCCGGCTGGGGGCTAACAAAGGGCGAGGCGTAGCGCCGGGGCTGGGACAGGGAGGAGGAGGAGGGACGAAGGGAGGAGGAGGAGGAGGAGGAGGAGGGGGGAGGAAGGGCAGCCGGCGGCCCCACCACCATGCCGCGGGTCGTCCCCGACCAGCGGAGCAAGTTCGAGAACGAGGAGTTCTTCAGGAAGCTGAGCCGCGAGTGCGAGGTGAGGCAGAGGAGGGAGGGAGGGAGGAAGGCTGACGGGGGGGAGGCTGGCCTCGCAGAGGGGAAACTTTCCTCATGGGGACCTGGAGGGGGTGTGGGGGGGGGGGGGGGTAGCGCAGTCTGTGCGCCGCGCTGCCCCTTATCTCACCCCCCTGATTGAGCGCCCTGTGCCCCGCAGATTAAATACACCGGCTTCAGGGACCGGCCCCACGAGGAGAGGCAGGCCCGCTTCCAAAACGCCTGCCGGGACGGCCGCTCCGAGATCGTAAGTGGGGCCGGGGGGCGCTTGGGGGGGTCCCCGGGTTGGGTTTGGGGCCCCCTCGGGGCGCTGTGGGGGTCCCCGGGGCTCCCCCCGGGCTGGGACCGCGGCGCTGCCTCCCCGAAAAGTTTGGGTGAGCTCCGAGGAGGAGGAGGAGGAGAGGAAGAAGGCGCCGAAGCAATTAAGCCCAAAGGCTCCTTGCTGGGTGTGGCGGGGCTCTGGCTGCTCCTTGGCCGGCCCTTTGCCCGAAAGTTGTGTTTGGGTTGTTTTTTCCCCTCCTTTTTCCCCCCTTTTTCCTCTAAATAACAAACGCTGCGGCGCGGGCTTCGCAGCAGAGCGAGGATTCCCCTCAGGGGACGCAGGCGAGGAGCCCGCCGAGCCTTCACTTTCAGATTTTAATGCTTATTCTCTGAGGAAACAGTAATTTTCGGAGCTGAAATCGTCCACAGGCGCTAGCTAAAAGTCCCCGAATGGGCTGCGTGATGTGTCCGTGAGCTCAAGCGAGCGCTCTTCAAAATCAGGCTTTGGAAGTGGCAACTTGAGCCCTGTTTTCCCTCATTCATTAGGGTTAGCCCGGGCTCTGCTGAATTAAAGCGTGAGGCGAAGTGCGGCTCGCAGCAGCCGAGAAGTGACTGGCTATTTCCTGGTTTGCTTGCTGCTATATGTTCCTTCTGTAAGATCGGCGTGGTGTAGTGTTTCTGCGAGGCTGTTAACTCTTAACTGCTCCCCAAATGCAGAAGTAACCTCTTTTTTCGTTTAAAAGATAGTGAGAAAAGAAGGTAAAAGTTCCCTTCCCGCAGAAGCGACCCCTACTTTCACCTAGTTTGGTTTTATGGCGATTCTGTCATTTCCCTCAGCATGGCTCGTAGTGTCGGCTAGGTTGGAGAAGACCTCAGAGATCACCTAGGTATTACTAGTCAGCTCACAGTCAAATCCTTTATTCACAACCGTACTGAAATATAATTGAATACTAATTACCACAGCCGATCCTGTTTATTTGCATTTCTGTGTAAAAGGATATCCTTACCTTGTACTAAGTAACTTTATTTTACCTAGATCTTACCCATCTGTGGGTTTCGAACCTGTAATACTATTTTATGAGAGGCCTCCTGTTGTCAGTCTCCCTTATTTTAGTATGTTTTTGCATTCATTTTTCATTGTTTGCTCCCTTTAAAAAGTCACCAGGGAAACAATGGGTAGGTAAGGAAAACAATTGTCTGCAAGCATTTGAAGTTCCTGAACAGGTGAAAGTGCAGTGTATACCTGATTCCTTCCCTTAGAAAACAAACAAACAAAGGACGTTTAGCTTAGAACTCGCTTTCTAATGCCACATACGCAGTTATTTCTATAAATGGGAAATCGCTGTAGGTTCACCTTTGTACTTCTAAGCCTGCTGTCTTTCCCTGCCAGAACTTCATCCCTTGGAAGCCACCAGCAATGTCTGCTCTACATATTTTTTCATCTACTTAATTATAAAACAGCCTCTACATTTCTTGATCTGAAACATCTGGTTTTGTTCTGTGAACAGGGCACAAGCAGTCGGGTTTATTTGGAAACGTAGTGTGTGTAATGACTGATGTTAAAAAGAGCTAGCAGTTGTACTTTTTTTTTCAGTCTTGAATGTTTTTCCAGACATCAAGGATTTATTCTTTTATCTCCAAAGGGAGCCTTTGCAAATGACCTTACATATTTTTAAGCAGACAACAAAAAAAAAGGCAGAGAACAGCTTAAGGTTTTAACATAAAACTGGCGATAGGTTGCTGGTTACTTCGATTAAATAGCTCTTGATTGAGCAAGGAAAATAGTGACCAGTATTAATGGAAAAAGTAACTGAGATTGCTGTTTCACTGGTGTTAAATTGCTTTGATAACTTGAAAATAACTTTGCATTTGCAATTTGTTTTCGGAGGCTTCCTAACTGCGCTTGGTTGGAAGGCACTTGCTTGTGTTTACGTTGCCTAGATGTAGGTCAGATCACCCTGGTGCTACCTGATAAGCTTTTTAGCATTTCAGACAGAGCTTTAAAAGGCTCTGTATAGCAAATTACAATTTCGCTAATTTCAAGTTTACTACTTTGATAATAATGTGATGATAATTGCTATTTTATTCCTTACCTTAAGGAAAATTCTGGGTCCAGGGTAGTTCTCTGTGGTTACTAGTGAGACCGTTCTTCAAATTTTCAGTATTGACCGATGATTTTCACACATGGCATTTTAATCGGGTGGTTTTATCTTTACAAAGGGAGAAAGCAGGCTTCAGAAATCAAGAGAGTAAGTTTTCCACGCAGCTTTTAAAGAGCTGGTGGCCTAAATGTTGCCTGCATGACTCCATGAGGATGTGGGAATTTGTCTACTTTCATTTTCTTTTCTCTTTTTTTTGCTAATATTATTCCCATGCTTTTTCATGTTCCTCCAGCACATACAGGGGGTGGGAAGAATCAGGTCCTTCTCTGCCTCGCTCAGATTCCCAGAAAGCAAGGGAAGTTCTGGCCCAGTATCCCCGGGACCTATGGGTGCTGGAGTGGTCCAGAGGGCTGCAGAGGTTGCACTCCTGGGCACCTGGCATAAATTGAGGAGTGCAAAAGCCGCATTTGCTAAAGATGCTGGGAGATGGGAAGGTAGTTTGTGTGTAGAGTAGTAACTTAGAGTAGCAAAGGGGGTAGGAGAAGCAAGCTGGATGCTAATGATCTGCAGCCCCTGGCAGTTTTGGTGCTTTTTGTGCAAGTGTATTCCTGATGAAGCTTCTGTTACCTAGATGGAAATGTCTCAGGGAATCATACTGCAAAGAAGTGTTAACGCACCGGTATAGTATCCCTTCAGTATGAGTAGGACTGATTCTTCATTTTTAATAATGTCAAGAATGGGTTTAGCAGATGATTTAAAAATATATATATTAAAAAAAAATAGCCTGGGATGGAACTTGATTGCAGAGCATTGGTCTCCTGTGGTGGGGGGGAGGAAAGTCAAGACAAAGCACTTCTACTTTCAAAATGGGAGGTATTAATCCTGTGACAGTGTTGCAGTACATGACCGGAACTATCTTAAATAACATGTAGAGCTATTGTGTCATAGGCAGCAGCACGGTTATATTTATACCACGGAGCTGCTCTATTCTGGCTTGCTTGAAAGGAATCTGCTTGTCGGGAAAATCCAACTATTTGGGTAGTATCTGTGTAGCTTTTAAAGAAAAAAAATGTATTCTGGATTAATGACCATTTAAATCTAAGTGATCATGGTAATCAATACAGTGTGATTTGATTGCAACAAAACATGTTTGACCCTGAGATTTTGAGCAGAGTTGTATTCTGGCAGTGTGTTCCAGTATTCGCATGCTTGAAGGATGCACTGTAGTGTATCAGAGAAGGGAGACACCGTGAATCAGATTGTGGAAGCAAAAACCTATTTTTTTTCCCCATCTAGAAGTTGGCATGCTGCTTGGTGCTGATAAGATGTACAAATAAATACAGAGTTCCTAAAGAAAACAATCTTATTTTCATTGGAAGCCATAGGAAATATTTACTTGAGAGCAGTGTATGCTTTTTCCAGTACGGTTAAGTTAGTCCCTCTAATGACTTTACAAAGGGCTGCAGCTGGGAGGAATTCCTATTCCAAGGTGTTCTCCCTGATGCAGCATCCTGGATCTCACCACTTTGTTAATGTGACAGCAGGACTTTGTCCTGGGAAGTTTAACAGAGCTGAATTGACGCTTGCTTGCAGACAATGCAATAGGAATATCTGCTTTTCAGGTCAGATAACCGTCGAGGTGCAAGTGTCTTCTGAGAAGAAACAACTCCTTTCCTTGCAAAAAAAGTTGTCCCTGGTAACAGGTCTCTGGAGTTCATTTTCCTCCAGAACGACTTTTTAGGGATATGCAAGCTCTTTAAAAAGCGTAGGCAATTTTTAATGTTTTAGATACTAAGTTGGTGTAGGGTATCCAGACAGAACTGAAATGACAGATTCTAATGTCAGCAAAACTGATTTGAAAGAAGTATTGATTCCATGTTGTATTTTATATCCGAAGCAGCCAATGGCAAATGTTGTCAAAATGGAATCAGATGTTTGTAACTTAATACTTAAGAAAAATGATGAGTGCATGTTTTTGACTTTAAGTATTCTCTATGCTGCCTGGCTTAAGACATAAACTGATGTAAAAATAAATGACTGCCTGCATAATTTATGTAATGTCTTGCTCCCTGATCCTGTTTGTATTGATTTTTCTAAAAGGCTTTTGTGGCCACAGGAACCAATCTGTCTCTCCAGTTTTTTCCGGCCAGCTGGCAGGGGGAGCAGCGACAGACACCGACCCGGGAGTATGTCGACTTTGAAAGAGAAGGAGGCAAGGTAAGAAGGAAATTGCTGCAACTGAAAGAAATGTTTATGCTGTGCTTGTGGTCTGATTAGTATGGGCTGCGTGTATGATGCGAAATTACTAATAATTCCCATCTTGGTGCATGTAGGTAGTCTGCGAGTGCAACTGCAAGCCAGTATAATACTGGTGTAAATATTAACATTGTTTTGAAGCGTGTTAATATTTTTGGAGGGAAACACGTGGCTGGTCCTGGTGGCTCTTCATTATTTTGAGGAACAGAACTTTCTTCGGTCATGCTATGTTAGAATTTTGGGAGCAGCTTAAATTGTTAATGGTGTTATTTCTAGAGTGGTAGAGAAATCAGAGGTTGGCTGCCCAGTTGTGGTGGGCTAACGAACATTTGCTTTCTGACCTCATTACTTCATTGGGTCTTAGGTTGCCAGTTGACACAGCAAGCAGTCAACGTGGTGTCGAGTGGAATGAGTCTTTTTTTTTCCCCCCTCACTTTCACCATAAGTGGTAATACAGAATAAGCATTACTTTCAAAATTGATTTGTGACATTTTATTTCTTTCTGAGGTTGTTGTCCCGTGGACTGACACTGAAAGCAGGAGTTTGTTAATGACAGTGATATTACTGTGAAGCTGTGTTAGAATTAAAGCCAGAAACCTTGCTTAGTCTGGTCAGTTAAAATGAAGTTACTGAAATCGCTTGTAACTGGTTTTGTTTTACAGGAAAAACATACCTTTTAGAAATGTAGATGCTGTCTCTTACCTATGCTGCTCTAGATGCCTTGGAACTGATCCAAAGATCACTGAAGTCAATAGGAGACTTTCTGCTGACCTCAGTAGGTTTGGACCAGCACTTAAGGCCCCTCGGCCTTTCAGGTTCAGGCTAATTTCTCTACAGCTCTTTGACTTTAAAGATTTTAATAGACTATAAAGTTCTGGCTTCTGCCTAAAAGTTTTTGCCCAATCTCATAATGAGTAGCAGTTAACGTTACCAGATCTAACAGGCTGGAGGAAATATTTGAAGCGTGTTCAGGGTTGACGATATATTGCATCTTTTAACTGCTGCTAGGTAGGAAGATAAATATTTCCTATAGTGGGGAAAACCTGGTTGGAAGAAAAAAAAAATTCCTGAGGGCAGATATGGTATTTGGAATTCAACTTAACGAGTTTTTTTGGAAAAAATTGTGTTCCGTTCAGTCCTGTGAGGCTTCCAGAAGTTTGACGAACCGGGGGAGAAGGAGTGAAGTTGGCTATGCTGGGCACTGACTGCTTTGCTAAGGAAGCTGAATTGAATCTGGCTCTTACTGAAAAATATTGATTCTGGCTCACAATTGAATGAGGAATTTTTCTTGTAATGTGTAAGAAGACTGAGGTCTTTCTTCTTGCCAGTTCAAAAATAATTTTATTTACTCCTATATATTTTTTAACTTTATTTTCCCTGAATGAATTCTTAAAGTACTGAACTATTTCATCCATTTCCTTGTGTTGGCTTAATCAGGTAAGAACCAGGCAGATAAGCTGCGTATTAGAATAGAGCGAGAGTCTCTTCATGTGTGCCACTCCCTGTTTTATGTCTGTTTACAGTAAATTCTAGAGTGCTTCACTAGATTGTTCAGTCTTTCATCCAAAAAGAGGCTGGAGGTGGACACACTAATAAATGGGATTAGCGTTATTCTCCAGGACAAGCAAATCACAAATTTGCCATTGTAATCAGGCTTTACTATTGTAAATCACGTGTGAACGCAGGCTCTGCACAAAATTAAACTCGCCTGAAAGTAAGCCACTCCCATAACTTCAGAAGAGGAGCAAGCAGAACGGGAGAGAGCTGCTTACGTTATCAACAGAAACAGTTAAGTGTTTTATCAGTCGAATGGTCTGAGATTTTTTTGTTCTCTGTAGATTTCTGTAGCCTGGCTTTATTAAGAATTTCTTTCATAGGCTTCGGCAGTCTCTTAATGCCATGTGATTTCTGTAGCTCTGTGCAACATTGTTTTATGAGCTTTGATTCTTGAGGCAGTGCATAATGTGTGTTTGTTCATCACTGGAGCTAAGCCAGCAAGGCATGTTTTTAATTATATGAATAAAAAAAGGCTATGGGGGGAGCTGTCAGTTAATTATTATTTTAGGCATTAGTTTGAGATCTAGAATGCAGATAAACTTACCAGCGCTAGAATATTTATATTCTGGAATTCTGCTTCACTGTTTGGCCAAGCAAGTGATGGCCCAAAATAGTTTATCCAGAGTTTGAGCGTGTCACTGTTGTGCCCAAGGAGCTTTGTACATATTGACGAAGTTACCAGCGTGGCATCTGCTGGGATTGCCTTCTTAAATGACTGAATTTTAGAAAGAGAAACACCCTTGTGAATCCACGTGAAAAGTCAGGACTCTGTAAATATTTCCTTTGTAGGCTTGAGGTTTTTCAGCCTGGTATTTCTTAACGCGGGGATTTTTCCTATGCTTTATTTGACTTTTAATGTTTCTGGTCTTCATGATGGTTGGGTAGGCCACTTGTGGATACCCAGTCTTCATTAATTCAAAAATAGAACAGCAAAGTGTTCACTTGAGTTTAAAATGAATAGAAATATTGAGCTGAACCTTTTAATATTGTGTGTTCTCTTTGTTTATTAGCAAAAGTAATTGTGTATTTTAGTGTGTTTTTTTTTTTTTTTTTAGGTTTGTCATAGCAAAAGAATACAGAGCAGTAAAACTTGCTCCCTAGATTCCTGGACTGTAGGAATTGTAGGATGCTATTTCGTTGCAGCCTTGTGTGGGGTGGGGTGTGCCAAATTGAGAGTGTGTCCTCTGGATACCTGAATTGTGCTGAGGCTTCCTGGTCCTTTGTATTGTCAGGTAGTGTCTGTTTCTTTCTTTTCCTTTAAGAACACACAAATAAATGTTTTTAAGAAACCCAGAGGCAGGTGGTGTAGTAGCATCATCTGTTGGCTGAAATCTCATTGTCCCCTTGTTCTGTTAAGAACTGTGAGATCAATTTTTTTCATCATTCATTTTGTATTCTTTTTACAGTAAGATAAAATACCTCTGTTTTTTCTTTCATTTTTCTAAGTCTTATATATAGCTCTGGTCTTTCTTGCCTCAAAGCATGTTAGTTCTCAGATGTTCTTTTATTGTTTAAATATCGGTTACTGCGCCGATGAAGTGTGTGAAGTTGTTCTACTTCCCCTCCCCTTTCTAATACTCTTCTCCATCTCATTTCTAATGCAGCTGAACTTCCTGTCTGCTGCTCAGCAGCAGCTGCTCATAAACCAGAATCTTCAGCACAGGCTTATTTTAGTGCCATACACGGCGAACTCCACGATTCCGGAGCACAGCGCGTCAGGGAGGCTTGAAATCGATTTGGGGTAACAGGTACACCACACATGAGGTGTAGCTGGGCTTTCTGCTCCCTAGGCCATTATCTCTGTTCCAGCCATAAGTAAAGAATACTGGACTTTAGTTTTCTTCCTGGTAGTGCTGAGTTTCTCCTCATGTGCTATTTTTCTGTCCTAAGTAGGAAATTTACGTAGCTTGAAGTTGATTTTAATTGCTTCGATGAATCATAAAACCTGGGATTTCTGTCACACTGCAGACACCACAGCAGTTACAGAAATATAATGAGTGAGAGAGGTGGTGTATTTGAGTAAAAACTAAATTTAAATGGCAGTCAACAGCTCTCGTTTTGCACTTGTCCCCTTCTCTCACAAGAATTAGTTATGTGGCTTGATGAATAGCACTTGTCCCCACAGCAACTTTTTCTTCTGACGTCAGCAGTAAACTTTGGCGGGTGATTGGGATGACATATTGACCGCTCTGTTTCTTGAGCAAATGCAGTTTCTAGTCAAACATAGGATCGTGGTGTACCCAGCAGGATTTGCTTGGAAAACGAAAGCTTAATTTATGAGTAATGCCTGAATACCTCTGCTAACCTGCGTTGAATCAGAGGTTTCTTTGGTTCACACCTCTATTTGAAGAATTTAGCTGAAATATTACTTCATCCAAAACAAGTTGGAGTAGCAGGTTTTTTTGGTACGCTTTTGAACAAATAAGAGAATCTAACTTACGGTTTCAGCTCTCAGTTCTTACACCGCTGTAGTGCCAAAGAGCTATTTTCTTTACATTGCTCTATTTTCAGCCCACCAGTAGCTGGGACCTGGGGAATTTTTCCATCTAAAACGTTCTCACTGCTGGTGGAGTTAGTGTATGTGTTCCCTGAAAGAAAGGAGCTTTGACGGTGTGCCACCATCTCAGCCATGAGATAAGTCACCAAGACTTTGTCATTTCTACATGGGGGCATGTAAGGTGTGACAGATAAAAACGTAGCAAATGCCAGCATTTAAGCAGTGCTGTGTACATTGGTGTGGCTCGTCTCTTTGTATGTGAGGATGGTCAGCTTCCCAGGAGCTGTCCTGCAGGACTGCAGAACAGCCTTGCTGCTTCACAGATGAAAGCTCAGGAGGTGAGGATCCTTGCGTGGCTTTGTACTAACTGATCTTTAGGCTAGCTCCTAATGCCCCAGTGCATTAAGGTATCAGTATTTTATGGCCAAATTTCGAGCCTGTTCAGCTGCTGATCTCTCCCTTTGTTTTAGCAGAATAACACAGGATTACTCTTCTGGCTTATTTTCAGTTTAGCACAGGAACACTGAGCAGGGGGCATCTGAGTGGAGCCCTGACGAAGCCCCCATCGCTGGTGCTCGCTTGTGGCTCTCAGGCTCCTTCTGTAGGCGTTGAAGAAGAAAGTCAGTGTGTGTTTGTTCTGACAGCAGGTACACGGGGTTGATCTTGTAGCCAGTTCATGTTCAGCCTGACAAAACAGCTTGCTCATTTCTTTGCTTATTTATTGGAGTTGTGTGTCAGGGGTCCTCTAAAGCCTTAGTAGGTAAGAATCCACTTTCCTACACGGTCCCCTTGATCAATTTTTATACAGGATTGTGTGTATGGTCTGCGTAAATATTTCTAGTAGATGTTTGTGTTTTTACATTTTATGATGGTGTGTTTCAGATCTCTTTTATTTTAGCAGAGACTG